CCCCCCCAGTCTCTAGAGCTGTTTGCTGACGCGGGTTTTTCAGAGCCAGGCGCCAGCCCGCGGGTGGCTCTCTGCAGGTGTCAATTTATTCCAGAGATGAGGACACAGGAGTCCTCACCACTCACACCCAGTCATGCCCTCCCTTTCTTCAGGTCCTTTTAAGCTTCTGTTCTCCCATCATCATCTTCAGAAGGGGGCTTGGAGTTGACTCCCCAGTATCTCCTCTTCCTATACCAGGCTGGGCTCAGCCACCATGGCCTTGCTACCCCCTCTCCCTTCTCCTAACAGGGCCTGCCTCTTTTCACCCCTTTCCCTTAAGATACTTTGGGCCCTTTGCCTCCTCCCCTCCTACCAGCTTCTCTCCCTTCTTTCCCTCCCACAGGAGCCCTCCCCCATCTTTCTCCTCTGTACAGAGCTCTCTTCCGAGCATCTTTCCTGGCCTCTGCCAGCTTGTTCCAGCTCTTGCCTTCAGTCTCTCACCCCTTGCTCTTTTTTCATTTCTGTCTCCTTGGTGTTTCTCATCTTTCTCTCCTCCAAATACCTTCTCTGATTTCTGATTTTCTCCCTCAAGTGAGCTCTCTCTCTCTCTCTCTCCCTCTCTCTCTCTCTCTCTCTCTCACACACACCCACACACACACACACACACATACACACACACAGATGTTCACATGCACAAATATTCAAACCATATGTCATAGACAGCACAAACATACATACACACAAGTATATGTTCACATACACACTCAAACCACATATTCACATGCCATAGACCACACCACACACACACACACATACACACATACATACACACATACATACATGCTCATGCAGAGACATACCGACATAGACATTCACACACCTCAAGCTCTTTCTTTCCTTTATTATTTTTTCTTGATTTGGGGATTAAAGCAGAGAAAAGTTCCAATGTCCCTCATGACTTGGTCTTGGAAGTCACTCTTCATATTTTAGGGAGTATCTTACTGACTTCACAAGCAGTACAGTTCAAAGTGGGAGATTACATAAGTGCATGGATAGCTGAAGATTAAAATCACTGGGGATCACTTCAGAGACTAGATACCATACACTCAAAGGAGATTCTGCTTGCAATTCTAATTAGAAATGTGTTTAGTTGACTAGAACCCCCACATACCTTCCCTTTCTGGTGAGGACTGAGCATCGTCCAATGTTAGTGTTTATAAAGATATATCCTGTAATTCCTCACAGAAAATCTAGATGATCTGTGGTGATTTGAATGAGAAATGTCCCCCATAGGCTCCTCTCTCTCTCTCTCCCTCCTTCCCTCCTGTCTTTCCCTATTTCTCCCCCATTTTCTTCATCTCTGTCTGCCACATCTAGCTTCCCCTTCTTCTCCCCATCCTTCTGCCTTGCTCTTCCATTCCAGCCCAGGCCTGACTCCCCCAGCTAGGAAGAGTTGAGGGACAGGGGCTCAGGCCGCAGGCCCCCCCACTTCCCGCAGTGGGGAAAATGGTTTGGCCGGGAAGGGAAGGAGGGGGAGGGGGAGATGGGTTTTCTTCATCTCTGTCTGCCACATCTAGCTTCCCCTTCTTCTCCCCATCCTTCTGCCTTGCTCTTCCATTCCAGCCCAGGCCTGACTCCCCCAGCTAGGAAGAGTTGAGGGACAGGGGCTCAGGCCGCAGGCCCCCCCACTTCCCGCAGTGGGGAAAATGGTTTGGCCGGGAAGGGAAGGAGGGGGAGGGGGAGATGGGAACACACGGGGTCTGTGGGCCCATTCAAAGGATCATTCATGGGCTGAAGAGAGGCAGAGACAAAGAGACCAAGACGCAGAGACACGGCGAGAGCATCCCTAGGCGGAGACACGCAGACAGAGCAGGCTGGGGGAAACCAGGCGCAGGGTGGGATACCGGGAGGAGGAAGACCCCTAGCGGACCGCCGCGTAGCCCTCTCCACCCAGTCTGGCTTAGCTCCTACCTGGCTCAGCCCTGGGGCCGTGGTGCCTCCATCCAGGGCTCCGAGTGGGGGGCGGACGGGCTTCAGAATGGGGGCGGCGGCCTCTGAGCCCCCGCGGCCCCGCAGGCCCAGCCCCCGCTTGCAGCGCCTCACCCGGCGGGGGAGGGGGATCGCCCCAGCCCCGGGGGGCGGGGCCGGGATCCAGTCGATCCCCGGGAAAAGGAGAGCTAGGGCAAGGGGTCAGGGGGAGCCCAAGAACGGGGAACCCCGCAGTGGGGACAGCAGAGCGAGGAGGGAGCCACGGGACAAGACTGGATTGGAGATCCACTGGCTCTGTGGGCCGGCTTCGAGGGACCAGAAGGCGGTCCAGGCGGACGATCCTAAGGGATCGGGTGTTGGAGGAGTCCACGGCAATCCCCAGGGGCCCGGGGCCGCGAAGCGCAGAATCCGCGGTGCAGGGGCAGGGATCCAGCTGGAATCCTCGGGGAGGGGGAGGGATCTAGTTGATCCCGAGGGCGGGCGGGAGAGGGAGATCCAGAGAGTCAGAAGAGGGCGGGGGCCGAGTCCTGAGCCTCGAGGCAGAGGTCGGCGCGGCTCCTAGGAAGGAAGGCAGGGGTGGGGGAAGGCTTGGGGGAACGCTCAGCAGCCGGGAGGCCCGGACTCCTGGCTCTGCGCGCCAGGGCCCGCCCGCCCCGCGTCCATCCCAGCCGAGAGTGATGATCCGCCGGCGGAGCAGCCGCAGCAGCACCGCGCGTCACCGTGCGGCCGCCTCCCCCGCCCCCTGCCGAGAGAGCGGCGCACACCCCTCGCTCACACCCGCCTGCCCACCCGCCCTCCGGAGTGTGAGGGGACTGAAGACGGTGAAGGGGGCTGGAGGGCACGGACGGACGGATGGACGTAGCGGGCCGGGGCAGGGTGGGGACATTCCCCCGGATCTCCCATCCTCGGGGCTCTAGGGGTCTGTGAAGGGGGAGAAGAGCTGAACTGTAAGGAGCTGGGTAGCCGACAAGAAGGCGGAACCGTTGGGTATGGGGCGGGGCCATCCGCGGGGTGGGCGGGGTTTGGTGGCGGTGGGTGTGGCTTCGGCATCTGTGGGGCCGCCTCTTTTGAGTGGGTCTGGTCGGAAGCTGAGCAGGAGGAGCCTGTGGGGAAAGGGGCGGAACTTTGTGTGGGGACCGAGAGCTTTGGGAATTAGCGGGAGGTGTGGGTTGGGGGTGTCAAAGAGGCGATCAACTCGGAAAGTGGGCCAATCCATGACGCAAATCCTCTAGTCCCGCCCTCAACCCCGCCTCCCACTGATCCGTTCCTCCGCTCCTAATTGGTTCTAGTTTCTCCGCCCCCGGACGTCTTCACCACTCAGCAGAGGTTTTACAAAGGCGTAAGTAACCGGGGAAGGACCCGGGCGCCGAAATGAACACAGCTCTGATTGGGTACCTCTGAACTTTATTTGCATGGGCAATCTGGATTGGCTGGCCTCTTGGGTGGTCCGGGCGCTGTTGGTTCTGCGCGTGACCACCCACAGCCATGGCCGTGGTAGGGGCTGCTTTCCGTCGTCTAGGTGCCTTTTCCGGAGCTGGAGCCTTGGGCTTGGCCACTTACGGGGCACACGGTCAGGGGGACGTGGGACGCCTCTGGGCTGGGAGCTATATTTGGGGTCTGGTGCCGGGCGGGACCTATAGGAAATGCCCTGTCCCCCCTGGACTAGAGATCGTGTCGATCCCTAAACCTGAAAGTCTCTCAGTGGGTCACAGTACTACTCGACGTCTGTTTCCACCAATCGAGAACTTCCTGGGATGCCCCTTTTCACCAGTGTCTGCCTTGGTCCCCCAGGGTTTGGGACGGTGGAGGCTTACGCCTCTGATAACCTTTGCTTCTTCTCTCCACAGGCGCTCAGTTCCCGAATGCCTACGGAAAGGAGGTGAAGTTACTGCGTGGGGGCTCCTGGACTCCGGGCTCCGGAGGCACAAAGTCTGGGGGCCCTGAAACTGGGGCGTAGGGGGCTTAGAAAATACAGGGTCGGAGGATGAATGAGACGGGGACCTAACGCAGGCCTCTGGAGAAGCAAGGGCATGCAAGCCCTGTGTCTTGGGGGCCCGAGGGAGTGGCAGGCGGGGACTTCAAAGGTGGAAGTGTTTGGAGTGAGTTTAGATCCTGTGTGTCACCTAAGGTTCCTGGGCTCCGTTGTTACTTAGGAAATACCTCTGTCTCCTTTTTCTTGCAGCTCTTTGATAAGACCAACAAACACCACTTTATACACAGCCTGGCACTGTTAGGGGTACCCTGCTGCAGAAAGCCCCTCTGGGTAATCAATCCCCTGGTCTGATTCCGATCAAACCCCATCTACTCCTTCAGACTGCTCTGTTATCATAGTGTGTTGTATTCTCTGTCTCTTTCAGGCGGGGTTGCTGCTAGCCTCTGGAACAACCTTATTTTGCACCAGCTTTTACTACCAGGCTCTGAGTGGAGACCCTAGCATCCAGATTATGGGTCCAGTTGGAGGGAGCCTGCTAATCTTGGGCTGGCTTGCCTTGGCATTTTGAGGTCTTTTGTTTAAGTACTCAGCCTTGGGCTTTTGGGGAACTTGGAACAGAAAGAAAAATAAAAGAGAAAGGCAAATAAAGAACTTTGGAGTCTTTGTTCATATAACCTATTGAGCAAGGAAGGATGAGAGTCAGCCTTTGCACTCTTTCTAAGACTTACAAATAAGACATGGTTCTTTTCATTATGTTATGTTACCAGATTTATAAAGAATGCTTGAGATAATGCACAATCTTACTCAAGTAGCACATGGGAGTATGTATTTTAATAAGCTCATCATATAGTTCACTAGAATTTTTTCCCAATGCTGGGGATTAAACCAAAGCTTTGGGAGTGTTAGGCAATCCCATTGAGTTACATCCCTAACTGCCCCCTCCCCCAGCCCTTTTTGAGATACTATCTTGCCATTTAGTCCAGGCTGGCCTCAAACCTATCCTCCTGTCTTAGTCTCCAGATTGCTGAGATTATACATTGTACCATTATACCTAGCTTCACTAGAATTTGATTACCTTTAAGATAGTGAATTTTAGTCCTGTTAGTCTACAAATTTGATGCATACCCACATACTCTAGAAGTGAGGGTTAAGGCTAGACAGGAATGTCATTAGTTGTAATATATGTTGAGGTTTGAGGCAGGAACTATGTATTGGACATCAGAAAATGCTTTTCAGTGCTTGAACTGAGCCTTATAAAGGTGATCTGTTCTGTGAAGGACATTCAATGAACAGAGATTGAGGTAAGAGGGGGAAGGGTTTGGGGGCAACATGAGTTTTCAGTATGACTGAGTTTTGAAGTTAAAACAGGAAGGAAGACACAGTGGCAGAGCAGGCTGTCCACAGAGTGGACAGACTTAGGAGATGTTTAGGGCAACATTTAGTGAGCCAGTTTTGACTGTATGTCAGATACACAAGGAGGTTCAACCATGAGCAAGACAGATGCAGTCCTTTCCCTAATGGAATCTCTTAATCACTCGTAGAAACTGGGTCTAAACAACTAAACACACAAATTGATGAGTTGTGTTATGTGTTTGAAAAGAGCAGTGGGACAGCTGGGCAGTGAAGAATACCCACACCACTGCTGTAGATGGAAAGACCTCACCAAAGAGGTCCTGTGAAAGCGGGACTGATCAGGGACAAAAGGGAAAAGTGTATTCTGGGAAAAGGAATAGCTAGCAAGACAGCCTGGAAGGAACAGCTCACAATCCTGAGGTAAGAGATAATTTGGCAAATAGAAAGACAAAAACTATTGTGGCTGCCATGTACTGACCAGGGTATCCCAGATGGCTATTAGACATCTAGTGGTAAGCTGCTTAAACTCTTTGCAATGGTAGGTCACTGAAAAAAATTTTTGTTTTGGTCTTTTTGAGACAGGGTCTCCTTGTAGCCTCAGCTGTCTTGGAACTCACTATATAGACCAGGCTGGCCTCAAACTCACAAAGATCCACCTGCCTTTGCCTCCCAAGTGTTGGGATTAAAGGCGTGTGCCACCACACCAGGCATCACTGAAAATTTTAAGTCATCCTTTTACGTTTCTATTTGTATGTGTGATTTTGTTTTGTTTTGTTGTAGTTTTTTTTTTGTTTTGTTTTTTGTTTTTTTTTTTTTTGAGACAGGGTCTCCCTGTATCCCTAGCTGACCTGGATTCACTATGGAGACCAGGCTGGCCTCAAACTCAGATCTGCCTGCTTCTGCCTCCCGAGTGCTGGGATTAAAAGCATGCGCCACCACACCCAGCATGTTGTAGTTTTTTAAAATATATTTTTATTTTATGTGTACGAGTGTAATGCCTGCATGCATGTAAGTGTGCCTGTGTCATGCAATGCCCTGGGAGATCAGAAGACAGCGTCAAATTCCCTGGAACTGGAGTTACAGACAATTGTTAGCTGCCTTATGAGTGCTGAGAATTGAACCTAAGTTCTCTGCAAGAGCAGCTAGTGCTCTTAACCACTGAACCATCTCTCTAGCCCCTGTTTTGTTTTGTTTTCTTAAATATATATGAGGGGTATGCCTGCATGTGTGTAAGTCAACCCAAGTCGTGCAGTGCCCTTGGAGGACAAAAGAGGGCATTGGGGCCCCTGGAACTGGAGTTATGATGGTTGTCAGCTGCCATGTGGGTGTTGGGATTCAAGCCTGGGTCTTCTGCAAGAACAGCCAGTGCTCTTAATTGCTGAGTCATCTCTCTAGCCCCTTGTAGTTTTTGGAGGCATGGTCTCCTGTATCCCAGGCTGACCTCAAATTCCTGAGCTAGCTGATGGTGACCTTGAACTTCCTGTTCTGTTTCTACCTCCTTAGTGCTGAGATTAAAGGCATGTGCTGGCATTACTGATTTTATTGAGTGCTGAGCAAACTCAGTGCTTCAAGCATGCTAGGCAAACACTCTCCCAACAGAGTTACTTCCCAAGCCCTGTTTTTTTTTTTTTTTTTTTTTTTTAAATTTAAATTAATTTAACCCAGCTAGGCTTAAAGGCACATTCCTTTAATCCCAGCATGCAGGAGGCAAAGGCAGGCAGATCTCCATTTCTGTTTCAGTTCAAAGCCAGCCTGGTCTACATACCATGTTCCAGGCTAGCTGAGGCTATAGAGAGACCCTGTCTCAAAAAGACCCCCCCACACAAAAAAAGTTAATTTAAGCCATCTCCTCCCACAAGCAAAGAGGTAGAAGATAGGTACAATGGTCATCATTTGATACAAGAAAAGATGAGCTTGGGGCTGGAGAGATGACTCAGTGGTTAAGAGCACTGGCTGCTCTTCCAGGGGGCCCAGGTTCCATTCTCAGCACCCATATGGTGGCTAACAACCATCTATAACTCCAGTTCCAGGGGATCCAACACCCTCTTCTGGCCTGTATGGACTTTGCATGACACTGGTGCACTTATACACATACGGACAAAACACTTATACACATAAAATAAATAAGTAAATAAAATTTTAAGAGAAGATGAGCTTAACGTCTCATAATGCTTCTCTGGTCCACATGCAGAGTAATGCTCCAAACCATTGCTATGGTCTCTGTTGCCTGGATGATGGTCCAGGTTCCCTTTACTCATCTTCATAGCCTGTCAGAATCAGATTCACATCATGGTTACAGAAAAGGATGTGGTTACAGTTTCCCCAAGGAAAGGGCTTAGTCCTGATGAGATGGAGGTAGGCAATGAACTAGGGTCTCAAGTCTCTGTGGTATGACTTCAGGAAAACATTGAGCATGCTCACTCCTATCCTGGGCAGCACAATGAAAGCGAGGGCCTTCCATATGCATGCCGAACCCTCCACAGTGGGTGCCACTTACCTTAGGCCAGCCTAGCAGGTGAAAGATCCCTGACATGCAGTAGTGCTGTGCCATCATCTTGGACCTAGACCACCCTGATTTTTTTTAAGACAGGACCTTGTTATTCAGCCTAAGCTGGCCTCAAATTTGTGATCTTCCTGCCTCTGTTTCCCAAGTACTGGCATGTACTACCATATCCAGGTTGTTTTATAAAGAACAATTTGTATACTATATTGAGGGTACATTATTTTCCTGAAGGTATGAATTCAGAAAAGTGCAGACTCTCTCTAAATGATAGGATTTTTAGGTAATCTCAGTTCTGTGTCTTTTTTTTTTTTTTTTTTTTTTTTTGAGACAAGGTCTAGACATGTAGTCCATGCTGGTCTGGGACTTCCTGTATAACCAGGGTTGACCTCAAACTTGTGCTGGGATTATAGTTGTGCAGCACATCTGGCTCTAATCCTGTATCTTTAATTACAATCTGTCTCTATTTTTCTAAGCCCAGAATTTCTATTTCCTACTCTAGTCTCTGCTAAGTGCAGATTCTTTTTATTATTACTGTATGTGCATGATGTGTGTGTATGTGAGTGCAGGCACTTGTGTACCATGATAGAGATCAGAGGATAGCGTTCAGGAATCAGTTCTGTCCTTCCAGCATGGGCTCTGGGTACTGGATTCAGGTCATGCGATGGGCACAGCAAGTGCATTTACCTGCTGAGCCATCTCTCACCAGCCCTAAACTGCAGATTCCTATGCCAACAACTTTGGTTTGGTTTGTTTGTTTGAGGTGGGTCCTTGTAGCCCAGGCCTTGAATTTGCCTTGTAGCCAAGGACAACCTTGAACTTTTTTTTTTTTTTTTACTGTACGTGTATGAGGGTTTTCTGCACCACTGTACCATGTGTATGCAGTGCCCATGGGGGCCAGAAGAGGTGTTGGATCATCTGAAGCTGGAATTACAGACTGTTGTTAGCTGCCATGTGCTGAGAAGGGAGCCCCCAGTCCTCTGTAAGAGCAACCAGAGCTCTTAACCTCTGAGCCATCTCTCCATCCCTGACATTGAATTCTTGATCCTCTACCTCCCAAGTGCCAGGATTAGAGGTCTGTGTCACTATGCCTGGCTTGCCAATAGCTTTTAAGGCAGCCCTGGCCAAGAGTGTGCATTAGTGTAAAAATTCTGGGAGCTGGCACATCCGGAACATATATATTCAACTTATGGGTGGAAGCAGAGGGAGGGATCTGTGGTCTATAGCCTTTATTGGGGTTCAGAGCATTACACGTATTGGTTTCCCACAACAGGATTGGACTACATAATTTGAGGGGAACACAAGGCAAATGTAGGGAACTCGAGGATTACATTACTGGGTTCACCAGGCTTAAAACAAAAGTGAGTTAAAAAAAAAAGTGAGGTGGTCAAGTGGTTCAAAGTATGGGCTTTAGCTCACTAAAAACCAAAAATAGGATTGAGTGGAGGGTACCTTGAACTATGTGTGCTGGATAGCTTTAGTGTCAATGTGACATACCTGGGTTGAGGGAGCCTCAGTTGGGGAATTGCCTCAATTGGATTGGCCTGTGGCCATTTCTGAAGGGCGTCTTCTTGATGAGTGATGTGGGAGGGCCCAGCCCACTGTGGGTGGTGCCACCCCTGGGCAGGTGGGCCTGTGTTGCATAAGAAAGCAGGCTGAGCAGGGGCCAGAGGAGCAAGCCAGTAAGCAGCATTCCTCCATGGCCTGTGCTCCAGCTCCTGCCTCCAGGTTCCTGTCCTGAGTTCCTACCTTGGGCTCCCAGATGAACTGTGACCCGGGATATGTAAGCTAAATAAACCCTTTCCTCCCCAAGTTGGTATTGGTCAGAGTGTTTTATCACAGCAAGGGAGAGACAAACCAGGACACTATGTAAATCATGCATATGGCAAACCAAGGACAGGACGAGTGGAAGCTAAAGACTGGGTCATAGCTCAATGGTGGAGCACTTGACTAGCATGTATGAGGCTCCAGGTTCCATTGCGAGAGAGAGAGAGAGAGAGAGAGAGAGAGAGAGAGAGAGAGAGAAATTGGTAAGAATAGAGCTAGGACAATTCTTGTCAGGTTTCTTAACATTCCTGCAAGTTTGGTGTGTGTGTGTTTTGAGACAGAGTCTCACTATGCAGCCCTAACTGGCCTGGAATTTGCTATGTATACCAGGCTGGCCTTGAACTCCTAGAGATCCTGCCTGTCCTTTGAGAATGCTGGGATTAAAGGAGAGCCACCATGACCAGCATGAAGTTAGTGGAAAGGTAAGCTAAGAGATGAGGCAACTTGCTCTGCATTGTGTGGCTGTAAGCTAAGCTGGATGACCCATGGTTCATATTCTCCTCTATCAATTCCTAAAGCTAAGTTTTATTCCTCTACATAACAAGAAATTCATATTTCAGCAGTGGAGACAAGCCCTCTTCAGTGCAGTGTGCCCAGTCTTATACTGAAGTGGGCTTGTTCAGACTTCAGGGACTGTTAAGGCTTCATTCCACTCATTTATTGCATTTTCAGCATTAGTAAGAATTCACCAGAAAAAAGGAACAGGATCATAGCAGTAACAAGTCAGCAGGGAGAACTGGATACTTGAAACTCAGGATTGGATGGGCAGGCAGTAAACGACTGATTATAACAAGGGTGGGGCCTGCACTGTGCTAAATGAGCCAAATGAGTCAACTTCCAGTTCTCTTTTTCATCCTATCTCTGAGCCATAATCAAGTCATGTTGGCCCAAGTGCACATCACCACTATTGCTATTGCCCTGGACTCTGGTCCAATCTACCATCACATTGTACCTAGATTTCTGCAAGAACTTCCTCCCTGCCTTTGCCTGCCTACAGCCTCCAGGCTGGCAATGCATCCTGAAAGAGAGTCTAATTCTCAGCTTTGACTGTACAATATAAGCTAGAATTCTCAACGTTCCTGGATCTGCACCTCATCTGATATTCAAATGTAATTGGTAAAGAGTAGGACCCAGATAGAGGCCCCTCCCTCCCTTCCTTCCTTTCTTGATAGTGTCTCATTCTGTAGCCCAGGCTGGCCTAGAACTCCTGGTGATCTGCCTCAGTCTCCTAAGTGCCGTGATAACCATGCCCCGCCTTCCTTCTTTTGGAAGGAGGGGTCTTTTGAGACAGGGTCTCCCTATGGAGGCCTGACTTTTTCTGGAACTCGCAATGTAAAACAGCCTGGTCATCTATTTTGTGGCCATCCTACTGCTTCTCCCTTCCGAATGCCAGGATTGCAAGCGTGTGCCGGCCACCAAGCCGGTCGGAAAGCCTTTCCGTTCACAAATGTCTTCCCCTGAACCTCACCTCACGCACCCTCATTATTGATCCCTTTTGGCAGCTTGTCACCCGTGTGTCTGGGTGCGCCTGAACCGAGAGGTGCTTGTGTGGGTCAACGTAGCGTCAGGGAGAGAACACAGCGAGGTAGCCCTAAGGAGGTAGAAAGAGAACCGGGAGCCAACTCTGGAGGCCAATGGGTGAGTGCAAAGCGGATTCCGCTGCGTCAACAAGGCCCGAACCGCCCTTAAGCGGAAGATCCCAGGGTCCAGCGCGGCACGCCACGGGAGGGCAACGCAGCGGCCGGGCTTCCTCCCGAGGGGCACCGAGCACTCCGGGCGCGCGGTACAGGGACTTAACCCGCAGTCCCGGGCCAGAGCCCGGGTCTCCACGCCTCCGCAGTTGGAGCGGAAGGGGCGGGGACGAGGCGAAGGGAAGGCGCTCAAGGTCCAAGGTCCAAGTCCCTCCGGAGAGGTTGCAGGGGCGGGGGAAGCGAAGGAGCCTGCCTCTGCGCAGACGCCCCGCCCAGCTGGAAGGGGCGGAGCTTAGGCGCCCCGGGGGCGGAGTCAGATCCTGGACCAGCCTCCACCTGCGCCTGTGAGCCCCCGAGTGCGTGGGCCCGGGTTATCCTGGGGGGCTTCAGGTGAGCGGGGGGCACAGAGGAGTCCGGGAGACCTCCCTCGAGGTCAGGGCGTCTGTCTGACCGCAGGTCCATCTGTCCTGCAGTCTGTCAACAGCCGCCTCCGCGGAAAATGGGAGAACAAAGGGAGGGGGCGGTCCTGGGGCCCCTGAGGGAATTCAGGGTCCCAGGTACCCCGCCCCGCCCGCTGACACTTCCGGTTTCTCCTGGGGTCCTAGGCGCCGCCCAAGAGACCCTGGGCCGGTGCTGGGCGCTGCTGCCTCTTCGCGCTTGCCTGTCCGTCTTTGTGTCTGTCTCTTGTCTGTCTGGCTGTCTCCGAGCTTGCCTCCACTCCAGAACTAAGCCTCCCGGACACCGTCGTCCCACGAGCCCCCGCCCTTTCCTATGGCTGGTAAGTGGGCGCCAGGCTGGGGGGGTGTCTCCGTTATCCCCCCATGAACTTGGGTGCTGGGTGTCAAACACATCCTCCAGGAATGTGCTCCGACTGGCTGCGTGGGGCCCTCCCTTCCTCCCGGGGAGCCACCGCCCTGCTCCCCTGCCCCATCTTTCTTTACCTCTTCTCCCATTTCCCGCGGGTGCTCGCGACCCTGAAAAATAAGGGAATGAAGCTATCGGTACCTTTCTAACCTACTCTTGCTCCCCTACAGGCTACTTGCCCCCCAAAGGCTACGCCCCTTCACCCCCACCTCCCTACCCGGTGACTGCTGGGTATCCGGAGCCGGCGCTGCATCCTGGGCCGGGACAGGCTCCAGTGCCCGCCCAGGTGCCTGCCCCTGCGCCCGGCTTCGCTCTCTTCCCCTCTCCAGGCCCTGTGGCCCCAGGGTCTCCTGCTTCCTTCTTGCCCCTGCCAGGGGTGCCTTCTGGTCTCGAATTCCTGGTGCAGGTGAGTGGGAGGGAGGATGACTGGGAGGACAACTGGATGTTCAGGCTGGCGTGCTAATGTCAGCGCTGCTCTTAACTCTACAGATTGATCAAATCTTGATTCATCAGAAGGCTGACCGGGTGGAAAGTAAGTAGAGGGAGGATCTGATTTGGCCTCGTGATCATTGCTGGAACAGTGAGCTTCTGGGCAGGTGAGGCACCTGAGCCTCAGCATGTCACCTTTAACAGCGTTCCTAGGCTGGGAGACCTGTAACAGGTATGAACTGCGTTCCGGGGCCGGACAGCCCCTAGGTCAGGCGGCTGAGGAAAGCAACTGTTGTGCCCGTCTGTGCTGTGGTGCTCGCAGGCCGCTTCGTGTCCGCCTAGCAGACCCTGGAGACCGAGAGGTGCTGCGTCTGCTCCGCCCACTTCACTGTGGCTGCAGCTGCTGTCCCTGTGGCCTTCAGGAGGTGGGCAGGACCGGTTTTGTGGTGGTGGGTCTGAAGTGTGAGGCAGAACCCAGGAAGAGGTATGGGTGGAATAGGAATGGGTGGGAGGGCATGGGAGATTTAGTGAGGGGGCTGAATAGATGGATGACAGAGCTAGCACCAGTGAAGAGCTCTGGCCAGGGTATCCTAGCTTGACAATGACCCTGTCTTCCTCCCACTCCAGATGGAAGTACAGGCTCCACCTGGTACCACCATTGGCCACGTGCTACAGACCTGGCATCCCTTCCTTCCTAAGTTCTCCATCCAGGATGCTGATCGGCAGACTGTCCTACGAGTGGTGGGGCCTTGCTGGACCTGTGGCTGTGGTACAGACACCAACTTTGAGGTATCAGGAATAGGGGGAAGATTCCTAGGCCCTTCATAAATCAAGATGGGAGCTGACAGTATGGCACAGTGGATAAAGGCGCTTGCCACTAGCTTGACAACTTAAGTTCTATCCATGAGTCCTACATAGTGGACAGAGAGAACCAACTCCTACAAGTTTTCCTCTGACCTCCACACACAGGCCATGGCACATGCATGTGCCCACACACAATGAATAAGTAAATAAATAAATGTAATTAAAAACAAAAAAACCCCAAGATAGTAGCCTCCATTCTGTAGGATGGCTTAAGGTCAAAACTCTAATCTTGTCATCCAAATCCACTGTGATTCCTACCACACTTTCAGTTTTCTTCCATTCAGAAATGGGATGGCCCTGTGATCCTATAATGTTACCTATAGCCCTGTATTGGGAGTGGGGGAATCTAAGACCTACTTGGATCTGGGGTGAAGGATGATTATCTTTTAGTTTTCCTTCAGTCCTTAAGTCTGCCATGTAGCTGTTGTACCTGTCTGTGAGCACAGACCCTGCAGCAAGCACTGATTGATTATCCTGGCTTGTCCTGCAAACCTGGAAGTCCCATCCAACCTGAAGTCAAGGTGTTTTCTTCACTATGGCTTCCTATCACCAACCTAGAACCTGCAGAACCCAAGTGGTTTGAGTTTCAGAATGAGACTTGGAAAACACTTTGGCTTCTAGAAGACAAAGATACTCCACAGACCCCTGAGTTCTTTAAGGGATAGTCCTCTGTGCTGATAAGGAGAACCAACAGGTATTATCCAGCAGAGGTACTTTCCCAAAGGTTACTTGTAAAAAGTGAGTCACCTTGGTAGTCAGAGGCAGTTTCTGTGATGAGAGCCAGTTGGGAAGGAAATAATTGTGTGATCTCTGGATGGGAATGTGTATATTTTAGGATTCTCATAGGGTCAGTGCCCCTTTTATACCATTTTGAATGGTCCATACTTGAACCTCAGTGGGGACTCTAGAGATGGCGGAACAGGCCTTGCCCAGCCTAGAATTAGGCTACAGGGAATAACCTAGAGCTATAGAACAGTAGAGAAAGGGGATGGAGAAGATACAGAAGGAAATAACTGTAGTTATAGTCACTGGAGACTGAGCACACAAAAAGGACCAGGAATTCACTGTGAGTTACCACTTACTTCCACAGGGCTTGTTGCTGGGCTCAGAGAGGCCAGTGAGAATCATGGTCCTCAGAGGCTACCTGCTAGAACACCTGTCTGCTGCTAGGCTAGATGAGGTTCACATACAATGCTGGACAGGGTTCTCCGCTGCTTTGCAGATTAAAATCACCCTTTGGGCATATATATAGCCTCCCGGAGGATTTTGGCACCTGCCTTTGCCTTCTCAAATAGGCTACTTTGGATAGGACATACACTGCATGCACCAACTGTGGTAACCAAAGCAAACTTAGCAACTAGCTGTTTATCACTGATAGGCAGTTATGTCATTCATAACTTCGGAAAACAACAGATCTGAATCTAAATCCTGATTTTCACAGTATATTCATGTAACTAAAGGTCTCTCAATTTCCCCTGCTGTCACATAGAAACCCAAACTATTGGGAAGATTCACCGAGTGTAGAGTCTACACAATTCATTCATGCAACTGTGGAGTGAGACTGGAGGCAGCTGAGATTGGTGGCATTTTCCCCAGTTGGATCCTCCTTATGTTCCAACAGGTGAAGACTAAAGATGAATCTCGAAGTGTGGGCCGCATCAGCAAGCAGTGGGGAGGGTTGCTACGAGAAGCCCTCACAGATGCAGATGACTTTGGCCTACAGTTCCCAATGGATCTAGACGTGAGAGCAAAGGCTGTGCTCCTGGGAGCCACGTTCCTCATTGTAAGTTGGCTGCCCCTGCCCTTCCCTTCCTGCTACTCCTTTGCTGTCATTTGAAACTTTGTATACTTCCTCGACTCTTGCTAGAAGGTTAGGGATATGTATGGTGAGTTGTGGGTCCCGAGCTATGTTGTGACAGCTGAATCACACTGGCACAAACAGATCTTCCATTGACAGTAGCTTTCTCTTAGGATTACATGTTCTTTGAGAAGCGAGGTGGCACTGGACCCTCTGCCATTACCAGTTAGAAGTCACATCAAGGTGAGGAGACCATCACCTCAACCAGAAGTCAAGATGGTCACCTGCCCAGGCCTGCCTCTCCTCAGAGGCTACCCCTTTCTTCAGTGTACCCTACAGGGGACAGACAGGGGTGATGGAGTGGCTGGGAGCCATTGTGTCCTATCCATCCCCTCTCCCCCTGCCCTCCTTCACCTGTAGCCCTGCAGAAGAGTATGTATGAGAGCTTTCCCCCACTGTGTTCTACCATCTCCCAGCAGTCCCAACGCACACAAGCTTATCAGCTTTCCAACTTTCATACCCACTCCCTCCCACACTAGTCTAAGGCCTCTGCATGAGAGGAGGTCTCTGGAATCCAGGACTTAAGTTTTACAGCAGGGCTAGTGGGTGAAGGGCAAGCAGCCACCAAAGATGGCAGACATGCCACCCTTCTCCTGCATCCATTTGGCCAGTTAGTTTAGCCTCAGACTGTGGCACTTGGAAGGGATTCCTGCTTCCTCACACCTGTAGAGGTCGGGTCCCAGTGCCAACTTCCTTTCCCCTTTGGGCCCTGCTGGTGCTTGCTGTAGCTTCCTGTGCCTTATTTAACCACCCCTTCCTTCCCCTGCTGTAGGAAGGAGACTGCATCTTTGTATGTATTCATATAAACTTTGTAACTTTTTAAACATTGGAGGAGTATGTAATGGGAGCAGGTAGAAGAAAGAATTGATACGGGATCAAGCATGGTAACCACAACAACAGGGCTGGGGTTGGCCATCTCATAATCTTATATCATTTGGATAAAAAAATCCTTGGGTCCAAAAAGTCAATTTTCATCACCCGTGGTGGCTCTGGACCAAACCAAAGCAGTTTGGGTCATTGACCCCAAGTCAATATGGCTACTTCCACCATCCAAGATGGGTGCCTCTTAAAGTCTAGTGAGGTAGCTAATGGCAGTTCAGGATGGTAGTTCCCATGGTCCAGTATGGCTACTTGATCAATGTCTGTAGTGGGTAGAATCTTCCTCTGAATGCATTTTGCAGCTCTTTCCAGTCTTCCTTGTTTGGGAATGCAGTATGCAGAGTGGATTAGATTCTTCTTAGTCCCACCAAAAGTTCTTAAGCTCTCAGAGGCCAAGGAGCAGGGCAGGGAAAGAGACAATCATCAGTGTCTGACCTTGGGTACCCCGAATACTTCTCACACCTCCTTAAAGCAGGTGAGCTCTTCCTAGGTGCCCCTGTCAACACATTATTCTTCTGCTTTGTCCCATGAGGTCAGGCTCTAAGGGTGCTCCATGCTGGTGTCTATCCCCTGAAGCAGAGCTCAGGGCCGGGCCAGGACATAACGACTGGCTGCTGACAGGTCCCAGTGGTGATGCTCCAGAATGCGCCTACAGTCAGCTCTTGACCGGCTACTGAGGTGGAAGAGCTGGTCTACCTGTGGGAGTAGGAGGGAGGGCAGCTGACCAATAGGGGGCAGGGCAGGAGAAGAGAGTGACAGGAGGAAGGTCTGTATTATTTACCTTGAGGTTCCGGATGGCAGAAGCCACATCTCCCCCAGTGGTTCTAAGTGCCACCTGACACTCCTGGTGGGTGACTCCATGCACACTCAGCTCCACCTGTAGGAGACAAATTCTCACTTAGGCCTTTACTCCAACATGTAGGCTCTTCTAGACACCAGGTCATTTCAGAGCCCTCACCTCTATAATCTTCCTCTGCCACTCAGGGTCAGACAAGGGGCCTCCAAAGGGGGTAGTGGCTTTACTGGCTCCAGGTTCTCCAGGGCGGTGATTGTGGGGGGATTCTCTTTTGAGCAAGGGAGGCCGTGCTCTGTGGGGTTGGGTGGGCTGAGAACTGGAGATAAAAGGTGGGTGTGGAGGCAAGTCTGGGAGCCCCTGGGGCACAGCTCTTGAATGTCGAAGTTCAGGGGGACTTGAACCACCTCCCGTGGGTCGAGGACCCAGGGAAAGAACTGACTCCAGACTCTTGGACATGCCTGCAGAGTTGAGAAAGAAAGGACCTGAGGCCAGGCATGGTGGCACAGGCCTTTAGTCTCAGCACTTGGGAGGCAGAGGCAGACAGATCTGAGTTTGAGGCCAGCCTGGTCTACATAGTGAGTTTCAGGCCAGCTGGGGCTACAGGGAGACCCTGTCTCAAAAAAGATCAGAAAAAAAGAAAAAAATGACTTGAGAAGAGGCCCAGGTGCTACTTCCCACTGTCCTGCTTTCTGTCTGTCTGTGCTGAACTGGGTGGTTTTACAAGAATTTTCAGATGTGCTAGCTGGCCCTGTCCTCAGGCATCTATGTTAGGTGGGACAGTAAGACAGGTATACAAATGTTATCAAGATAGAGACAGCTGGGAACCCAAAGAACTAAGTATTTGGGGGCAAGAGCCAGGAGATGCTGTCCAATGGGGCAGTCAGGTATAGGTGTGGGGAAGATTGGAGGGTTGTTCCTGAGAGCCTCAAGCCCCACCACACTGACCTTTCATCCTCTGCAGGGGCTCCTTCCTTCTCTGGCCTCGTGCTAGAGGTAGATCTTGAAGCTTTACCTTCTCTCTGTCCCTGCCAGAGAGTGATCTGGTTCATCCTCCACCATTTCCTACCACCATTGCCTCTTTCCAAAGAAATGGGCTCCCATGCATGTTGAGACCCACAGGGGAAGCTCCAGCTGGGGCCAAGTCTGTTCTCATTCCTAGATCACCTTACTCCTGTCCCCAAAGTTTTCTTCCAGAGAAATTTCTGGACTTGGTCAGTTCCCCTTAACCCAGCTATCCCCAACCCTGATCCTTTCTGCTCCTTACCCATCTGTGTTTCCTCGGCACCTCTCTCCCCGGGCAGGGGAGCCTTTATGGACTGGATAGGTGACTGATGAGCCCCCCAGGTCTGTCAGTATCACTGCTGAAGCTGGAAAGTTACCCACTTTGAAGGTGCGGCCATTCTGGCCCTTCCAGATTGTGGTGTCTGGGCTGTGGGAAGAGGATTTAGTGAAGGAGGTGGGATCAAAGAGAGTAACAGCTGGGCTTAGGCCATGTTCAGCTCATCAAGCTGTGTATCTTGTGGTCACATCTGCCTGGAGGAAGGGAAGCTTTTTTCTCTCCAACACAAAAAAACCTCTGAGGGCCAGCCAGGGCTCCAGCAGGGAAGACAGGACTGTGCTGGAGCTCAGGACCCAGTGGAGAGGAGAGGAAAAGACCATTAAGACCAGGGTTTAAGGAGTTGGAGAAAAGTGAAGACTAGGTGTCAAGAAGGCTGCAAGAAGACCATCCCTTAGGGGATGTTTAGAGGACATGAAGCTGTCACCTGCCCTCGATGACAGTGACAGGGTCACCAGGCTCCATCCGCAAAGCACCTGGTTCTGTGACTTCCCTTACACAACGTCCCTCAGAAGGCCAGGCCTGTGGAGACAGAAGAAAAAGTGGCTGGGCTTTTGGCCTGAGTCAGAAGGGCAATAAGGAAGTGGAAAAGAAAGGACCTTCCTCTGTATCTCTCAATTAGATATGTACCAAGTATGTCCCCTGTCCTGAGCCCCATCCCTGTCTCTCTATTGCAACCAGCATGGGGAAGGCTGACAGGATCCTGTGCCATGCTGGACACAGCCCAAGTTTGAAGAAGCAACAGTGGAGGACTCTATGTCTATGTAAGGGGACCAAGGGGAGAGCCACCCTGTTTACTGCTTTTATTCCATACCCAGGCCCATGAGGCCTGCCTCCCACATACTTCAGGAACATTTCCACTCCTCTCCAGGCCCACAGCTGCCTCAACTTTCAGCAGGTCCTTGACTTCTCACTTCTGTTTCACAGCCATTGTCAGTATTCTCTCACACCATTTGTAGGCCCAGCTAGAGTGAATTAACCTAACTACTCTGTCCAACACCCTTCCATAGCTCCCAGCTGCCCTCAGAGTGAAAAACCAAACTCCTTTAACAGTAGTGATTTAGGGACCAACTCTGCAGTCACATGATGGTGCTGCTCAACTCCTCCATTTATTGTCACTTTAGATAAGTCACTAAACTATCAGTGCCTGAACTGCCCCCATCTGTTCAATGGAGATTAAAAAGAATTACCTTCTGGAGTTTTTAAATGAGGACTATACCTAAGGATACTGTAAAACACTTGGTATAGTATGTCTCACTGGTCAAGCGTTCTAAACCTTCCATGATGCAATTGGGCTTACCTCTGTAGCCTGTTATCTCCATTCCCCTTTCTTCCTTTACCTGTCACATACCCACAGAACCCATTCCTTTCTCTTCTGTGTCTCTTTTTCTGCCCCAGACACAAACCCCTGCCTTTCAGCCTCTGGCTGACTCAGGGCTCTGAGCTTCCCACGTGAAGGGACTGACTCTCTTGTTCAGAGCCGAGTCCCAGAGTCCAGCACAGACATCAGGATATGCCTATCTTATACAAGGAAACTTGGTAGAGAGAATGGAGGGAAAATATGCTGTGTATCCGGAGCCATGGATATCCCCACCTCTTGAAGTAGCCCTTCCAGATAGGAGAAGCTAGGCCTGTCTGCAGGGTGAGGTGCCCAGCAATGCAAGGCGAGGGAGTATAGGGCCCTGGAACAGAGAGGGGGCTTTGGTAGCCGGGCTCTGTCCTTCTCCAGTCGCTGCAGGATGAGATATGGTGGGACCCCTGCCCAAGGTTCCTCTCCTCCAGAGAACATTTCCCACAGTGTCACTCCAAACATCCACACATCAGAGGCAGATGAGAAGGCTCCCTGGCGTAGGCTCTCCGGAGCACACCTGAGGGAAATAGAAGTTGAAGGTTGCCAGATCTGTGTCCGAGGAAGTTCACCTTCTATCGAGTACCCACCCCCTTGATGCTTCCCTTATCCTCACAAGTTCTGTGTCTCTCGATCTGATGACTCCTTTGGTTCCTGCCACTCTAGAACACACACACACACACACACACACACACACACACACACACACACACACACACACGCACCCTCTGTCCAAGTTCCAGGCTGGCTGCTGCTCCCCAGTTCTGAACTCCCTGCCTTGCTCAAGCTTCACCACTAGAGTGCCTCACCAAGCATAGGGGATGGGGCGGGGTCCGCCCATGACGTAGCGACCCCGGGTACCACCCAGTGGCCGCACCAATCCAAAATCTGCCACCTTGATGGTGCGCTGAGAGGCCAGCAGCAGGTTTCGGGTGGCGAGGTCCCGGTGCACTAGCCCACGGGACCCCAAGTACGCCATGGCTCCCGCCAGCTGCCGCAGGAAGAGGCAGAGCAGGGCTACAGGCAGCGGGGGCGTCGGGGCTGGGGCGGTCAGGCGTGAATGCAGGGAGCCCAATGGTGCCAGCTCCATCACCTGCAGGGGCAGAGTGCCATGTGAGCCATGGTCTGGCCCCACTGGACCCTCTGGCTGCACACCAACCTTGAGGCTGTGGAGAAATCAGCATATGCGTCTACTCACCATCTGTAGAGGCTGGCCCAATACAAGGCCATGCAAACGCAGCACATGTGGGTGCTCCAACTTCATCATGATTGACACCTCCCGCAGGAAGTCTCCTAGCTCTGTGCCCCCTGGACCTTCGGGACCCACACGGAGGGACTTGACAGCCACTGGGATCTGGAGGTGGGGGGAAGCACCATAAGGCACCCAAGGTAAAGGCCAAGGCCAGAGCAAAGGGCATGCAGAATGAAGAGGGCAGCTTGTCCCTGTACTTTAAGCCCCATGAACACTCACACTCTGGCCACTGGGCAGTGTCCACAGCCCTTGATGTACCACACCAAAGCAGCCTGAGCCCAGCAGTTCCCCTCTGCACACGGCACCTTCTGGGATCAGACATTTGAGTCCCCCCTCTGGCTCAGAGAGGCATGGAAGACAGTCTGAGGGTGAGGTGGTTTCCTTTTGCTCAGGGACAAAACCACCAAGGATCTGAAACAGGAGTAGGAATTCAGGTGTCAGAACCCTACATGACCCTCCTGGCCATTCAGCCTATCATTCCCAGGCCTAAGCTGGCTCTTTAAGTCCCTCAGACAATACCACCACATACCTTGTAGACCCAGTTCTTATACTTGACCCCTGAACGGTGCCTCTTCAGAGCTTCAGCAAGTCTTCTCTGGGCTACAGGAGGCCAGAATTAGAAGGCTGAAGTGGAATAGGGGTGAAGTGGGGTACAGGGAAACTGATAGGCAAGAAGAGGCCTAAGGTATGGGGAAGTGGTGTTAGCAACTGGTAGGCTTGGGAAAGCAATGGGGTTTCAGAGCAGGGGTTCCTCACCAGGCCGGCCCATGCCAATGTTGTCCAGGTCCTCAGGCCTTACAAAGTCAAAATGTTCTGGCCGAGTGACATTTAGTTCTTCAAGGATGGGCTGGTAAAACTGGGCCAGCTGAATGTCCCGGAGTAGTCGAAGTAGCCACAAGGAACTAGCTTCGGGGAGCATGTTTGTTGGAGGTCCTCTAAGGAGGATGGCCGATTCCTTTAGATGTACAGCTCAGGGCAGGCACTCAAGGCAGCAGAGACAGGGTGTCCATTACCACCTTCAATCCATCAGAAACATTCAAGTATACAAGGACATATCAGAGATAGTAAGGAACTCTGCCACAATACCTCAGGCAGTCTGTTCCCACCCCCAAGACAACAGGTACTAGACCCCTTACTACTGACAAATCTGTCCCCCCACCCACAATGAGATTTCAGATCACTGCCTGTCCAGGCTCACAGAGTCCAACTAGAGATAGGGCACACTGCCCCTGTACCCCTGACATCCAGATACAGTATCCATTTAGGCCTGAGCCACATTCACTCATGTACAACTGAAACATCTCCCCTCCTCATACATGAGACATTTTTGCCTACCAGATACAAATTGGAGATGCCCAGATATACTAAGACATCATGGATCAGACATGTGGGAAGACACACACACATGACGGTATACTGCCTCCCACCTACTACAATACACACATACTGAAAAATGCTACAAAGCATGCCTGAGACAACCAGACACATGTCCTCTCAAATATAAGACATTCCCATATACTGTCATGAAATGCAGGCATGTTGCCACACACCCTCACACAGGTATACTGCCTCCAAATATCAAAGATACCTATACCACCTCACATGTCTGAGACACCAAGGGCCACATACAAACACACAAGACATTAAGGCACAGTGTCCACACATACTTGATTATGAGGGCATACTACCCCCTCCCTCTAGTGATGCCCAGGGTTATGGCCTCTTAGATACCCAAGTAACATTGGAAATTAAATAGGTATTTGTACTGGGCTTCCAAGTGAAGGCTAAGGTGGGTACTAAGCTCAGGTATTACTCTCAGAGCCACCTAGGCTGCCAGGGTGTGTGGCCCTTCCACACCCACCCGAGCTTGGGGTACAGAGCCCAGGTGCACTCCTACTCACTCAGCCCAAGCTGGCTTCCAAGCAGCTCCACCAGCGGTTATGGGCTCTAGGCCTCTGGGTCCGGCTGCTTGCACAAACACTCCCCTCTACACACCTGGCCCCCTCCCTGCACTCACTGAAGTAAGCGAAGAGGGAGCCCTGGATGAGAGGCGGGGGCCCAGTTGGTCACTCTAGGCGGGCTAGGAATTGAGAGCAGAAGAAAGTTCAGGCCCCAAAAGACCTGGCGTAGCACAGCAGGCGGGAAAAGTGGAGGAGAAACGCTGCTATGGAAGGGAAGGACCCGGAAAGAGGGGTCGGGAGGCCCAGCATCCCGCAGTCTCACCCCGAGTGATCCTGCGGGTTCCAACCCGCGGCGCCCCAGCTAAGTGCGTACTCTCACCTGGCGAAGGCGGAAGAGGCAGCTACGGAGACGCCCAGGTTGCCCGCACTAAATCCTGAGAAGGGCGGGACCAGAGGCCGCGGAGGGCGGACCTGGAAGCTGGTCCCGGGCCGTCGAGGACCGCCCCCCCGTTCCCAGGTGACCAGGTAAGCATAGCCTGGGCACCGTGGCCGCCCCTCCCTCTTGCAGGATAGGCGAACCTCCAGGACCTAGTTAACGTCCCTTTACTTGCCTTCCTTGACACTCTTGGCATTCTCCACTCTCCCTGGACCTCTTCCTCTGAGTTCTGTCCCCTATGCCCCTTCCCTGCAAATCTTTCACTGGGAAGTAGTAGGCACCTATCTGATAGTTGCCCAGGTGCTGGAACTAGACTAAGCAGGGCATAGGCACTGACCTGTAGTAAGAGAGAGGACCTAACAGGCAGGCTGAACTCATGAGGGGAAGTCAAGCAACACTGCCAGCCAGGGCACAGAGGTTCTAGTAATGGTACCAAGCCAGCTCCAGTCCTAGGCAGAGAGTCAAGCAGTGAAGCTGGGTAGCACTGGAGGCCCCAACGGACTCCGTTCTATCACTGACACTTCCTCTATTATTCTGTCCCCTATGTAACCTCTCACTAGGGCCCTGTACCCTGCCACTGGACCTATGCCCACAAGGAAACAGCCAGGATCTTGAAGAAAGCTCTGAGGAGAATCCCTTTTCTTCTGGGGTCTCAGAAAGGAAGCTCTTAGGACATCTGGCCTGCCTCCTGTCTCAAGGAAGGATTCATGAACAGTGTAGGCATTTAGTAGGTATAGTGTATATTGGCTGTAAGAAATCTCAGGGGCTGGCTCAGTGGCTGAGTGACTGCTGTTGCAGAAGACCGGGTTCAAGTCCCAGCACCCACATGGCACATGAGTCTCTAGTGGTAAAGGCCCTTCGCATATTAGTAAACACACAGATGTTCCAGCATCAGTAGGAAAATCATAATGCAATTCTGTATGTATGACTTCTTGCCAGTTCTCTTGTCCCCAACCAGACTAGCTTAGCACACTGTAATTGTTCCCTCTACATCTGCCATGCTTGATACACTGTGAGTCCCACAGGATAGGGGATGGGCCTGACTTACTCATCTTGGTGTCTTAAGTCCCTAGAACAGCCTTTAGTAGGTATAGTGTATATTGGTTGTAAAGAAATCTGCTCAGGGGCTGGCTCAGTGGCTGAGTACTGATTGCTGTTGCAGAACACCGGGTTCAATTCCCAGCACCCACATGGTACATGGCGGCTAACAGCTATCTGTAATTCCAGTTCCAGGGGATCTGATGCTCTCTTCTGACCTCTTTAGGCATTGTACAACACAGTGTACTTACATGCATGCAGGCAATATACTCATACATATAAAATAAAATAAAAATAATAAATAGGCAGGGTGTGGTGGCCACATGCCTTTAGTCCCAGCACTCAGGAGGCAGAGGCAGGCGGATCTCTGTGAGATCGAGGGTAGTCTAGTCTACATAGTAAGTACCAGGCCAGCTGGGGCTACAGAGAGACCCTGTCTCAAAAAGATCAAAACCAAAAAACAAAATACTAAAGTAAAAATAAGGAATAAAATATTAAAAAATAAAGAAATCTGTTCAATCTAATCTGATCTGATGGGCTTTGTAAATGAGCAGTCATTAGTCCATGCTTTTCAAATATCATTGTTTTTGGTTTATTTTTTTTTATTTTATGTGTATGAGTATTTTCCTTGCGTGTATATTGGTGCATCGTGTGTGTTCCCCTGGAACTGAAGTTAGCCACCATGTGGGTGCTTGAAATCAAACCCCTATCCTCTGGAAGAATAGCAAGTGTTCTTAACCACTGAGCCATCTCTCCAGTTCCTGTTTTTTGTTTTTCTTTTCTTTTTAGACACAGGCTCTTACTAAGCATCCCTGGATGACCTAGAACTCCCTATGAAGATGAAGCTAGCCTCAAACTCATAGAGATTGCTTGCCTCTGCCTTCTGAATGCTGGGATTAAGGGGGTATGCCATGAGGTGTGCCAGGACACCCTGCTCTCACTGGAATTTTTTTGTTTTCTCCAATAATATTTAGATATCAATTCTATTTATTCTATGTGCTGTGTTACCCTTCTTCTACCTATAAATTCACACTTTTTATCAGATTTGGAAATTTTTCAGCCAATATCTCTTCAAGTTCATCTGTGCAGTGCCTAACATTTTAGTCATTCAGAAGGATCCCATTTACAACAGTGGCTGAAATGAGCTGAAAAAACTTGTATTGCCTAGAGGAAATATAGGCATATTTATTTATTTATTTATTTTTGTAACAGGGTCCCATGTACCTCAAGCTGGCTTCAAATTTGCTATGTAGCTGAGGGCCTTGAACTCCTGATCCTCCTGCCTCCACCTCCCAAGTGCTGGGATTACAGGCTCATAGTAGCATGAGCCTGTAATCCCAGGCACCATGGCAGAGTCTTAACACAACATATTACTCACATGTTTGTGGTGATCCTGGTGCAAAAAACCTACTGTGCTGTCAATAGTATAAAAGTGGAGGGGATGGAGAGATGGTTTAGTGGTTAAGAGCATTTGCTGCTTTCACAGAGGACCTGGGTTGAAATCCTAGCACCCACATGGTGGCTAAAAACTCAAGTTCCAGAGTGTCTAACAACTCTAGTTCCAGGGTGTCCAAAGCCCTTTTCTAGCCTCTGTGGGCTTACATGACATGGATGACCTTACATACGTGCAGGCGAAACATTCATACCCATAAAATAAAAAAATTTAAAGAAAACACTGAGCTAAAAAGATGGCTCGGCAGTTAAGAGCAGTTACTGCTCTTCCAGAGGACCTGGGTTCAGTTCCTAGGACCCATATGGTGACTAACAATGGTCCTTAACTCCAGTTCTAAGGGATCTGATACCCTCTTCTGGCCTCCATGCACATGATCATTGCATGCACATGATCCAAAACACTCATTCACATAAATTAAAAATAAATAAAATTGAACTGGGCATGGTGGTTGGTACACACCTTTAATCCCAACACTTGGGAAGCAAAGGCAGGAGAATGTCTATGAAATCGAGGCCAGTCTGGTCTACATATTGAGTTCCAGGCCAGCTGGGGCTACAGGGAGACCCTATCTCAAAAAGACCAAAACTAGATAGTAAATAAATAAATAAATAAATAAATAAATAAAATCTTTTACAAAATTAAACATAACTGATATGACCCAGACAGCTTACTCCTACCTATATACCCAAGGTCATGTGTCTACACAAAATCTGCCATAAATGTTCACAGAACAGCTTTGTGATAGCTGAAAACTGGAGTCAACCCAGGCAAATGGATAAGAAAATGATGTTACGTTCACACAAGGGAATACTACTCAGTGCTAAAAAGGAATGAATACTCATGATACATACAACATCATAGATGAATGTCAAAATAATTGTACTGAGTCAAAGAAGACAGACAAGGGGCTGGAAAGACGGCTCAGCAGGGTTAAGAGCAAATGCTGTTTTTGAAGAGGACCTGGGTTCAGTCCCCAGCATCCACATGTTAACTCACAACCACCTATAACGTCAGTTCCAGGGGATCCAATGCCCTCTTCTGGCCTCTGCAGGCACCAGTCATGGACACAGTCACAGACATACATGCAGGCAAAACACTCATACACATAACATACAAATAATTTTTTTGTGTGTCCTTTTGAGACAGGGTCTCCCTGTCTCCTGTAGCCCCAACTGGCCTGGAACTTGCTATGTAGACCAGTCTGGCCTCAAACTCACAGAAATCTGCCTGCCTCTGCCTACAAATAAATATATTTTTAAAAAGAGGACAGAAGGGGCTGGAGAGATGGCTCAGCGGTTAAGAACACTGGTTGTTCTTGCAGAAGACCCGGGTTCAAATCCCAGTACCCACATGGCAGCTAACAACTGTCTGTAACTCCAGTCCCAGGGGATCCGACGGCCTCTTCTGTCCTCCGCAGGCATTGCACGACATGGGTGCACTTACCTACAAGCAGGCAATACACTCATACACATAAAATCATAATAAATATTTTTTAAAAAAGAGGACAGAAGAAAGCATACTGTATGGTTCTCTTTATATAAAGTTTTAGGAAATACAAATTAGTCTAGAGGGACAGAATGAAGTAATTATGAAGAGACGTAAGGAATTTTTAGGATTGGCAGTTATTTTCATTAATTTAATTGCACTGATGGCTTCCTGGGTACTCATTAAAACTTGTCAAATTGCCTGGCATGGTGGTACACACCTTTAATCCCAGCACTCAGGAGCCAGAGGCAGTTGGATCTCTGTGAATTCAAGGCCAGCCATGTCTGCATATTGAGTTACAGGCCAGCTGGATCTACATGGAGACCGTCTCAAAAAGACCAAAAAGAAAAAGAAAAAAAACTTATCAAATTAATTACTTTAATATGGACAATTTATTGAATATCAATTATACCTCAATAAAGGTATAAAAATATTTTTATTTATTATTTTTATTTTATGTGTATGAATGTATTACCTGCATTTATACAAGTGCACCCATGTCATGCAATGCCCGTGGGAGTCAGAAGAGGGCATCAGATCCCATGGACCTGGAGTTGCATAAAGTTGTTAGTCACCATGTATATGTTGGGAATGGAACCTGGGTCTCCTGCAAGAGTAACTAGTGCTCTTAATTGATGAGCCAACTCTTCAGCCCCAAAGAGGTTTAATTTTTATTATTTTTATTTTTATTTTTTTGGTCTTTTTGAAACAGGGTCTCCCTGTAGCTACACTGGCCTGGATTCACTATGGAGACCATGCTGGCCTTGAACTCACAGAGATCTGCCTATCTTTGCCTCCCAAGTGCTGGGATTAAAGGCAAGCACCACCATGCCAGGCTTCCAAGGATGTTTTAAAACAACTCCAATGAGCCAGGTATGGTAGTGCATGCCTTTAATGCCAACATTTGGAAGGCAGTGGCAGGTAGATTTCTGTGAGTTCGAGGCCAGCCTGGTCCAC